GTGCATGTGCATGTTCATGTGCATGTGCATGTGCATGTGCATGTGCATGTGTATGTGTATGTGTATGTATATGTATATGTACATACATATAAATGTAAGCACACATATACATATACATGTATGCAGCTGTATGCATATACAAAATCATTATACATGTCTGTACATCAATGTGCATCTGTATCTACCTATCTATCTGTTCGTATATTTCTATACAGATACAGATATGCGGGCATACATATTTTTATGTATATATATATATATGTGTACATAAAAAGGTACATAGATATATAGATATATGTATGTGTATAACGTTGATCCGTTTGGATACACACACATATTATGCATAATTACATTCATGCATACAGACAGACAGGCAGGCAGACAGGCAGAGAGACAGACAGACATGCATACAGACCCGAAATCCCTCGCCCTATGCACTTCATCAAAGCAGTTGGCGTAAACCCGAGCACGCCCTCCCCCACTCAAGCTGTTTATGATTGTATGAAGTAGTTACATATGTATCTATGCGCACACAAAATCATGTGTATGTATCACACATACATATATATATATATTATTTGTATATATATATATACACATATATATATATATACATACATAACCATATCCATATAGGTATGCAGCGTACACACATACATACATACATACATACATACATACATACATACATACATATGCACAGTAATATGTCATAGATATCAAACATCCAGATTTATCACGGGCATACACATTCTGAAAGCTGTAGCTTTGATGGAGATCCAAGACATTTAGAATACTACTTGAGGCATACCTGGCACCAAGCAAGACAGCAAACCTGCAACAGCCTTTGCCTTCGAAGCCCCAGCGGTCGTGATCTGCCAGGCAGCCTCAGGCCACCATTGCTCTGGGCTCAGTGGTTAGGTGCCGTTGCCGGGAAGTTCCTCCATGGCACAGCCAAGCCGCGATTGTTTTGACCAGAAAGTTTCAAGGGGCCCAAAAGCCCACAAGAAGCTTCTAAACCCTACGCCCTCAACACACGAGAGGCCCTATGGAGCGTCAAGTCCGCTCACGCCGCCGGCGTCTGAACCTCAGGGCGCTGCGGGGTTGAAAGCGGTTTAAGCTTCAGGATGTGATTTTCAGCTTTTCAGCCTTCGAGGATGTCAGCAAGTTGAGGCTTTAGGTGGGGCACAAGCTGGAAGGACGCATTTTGCACGTGTTCTTGCTCGCTTGGCATGTCTGAGGCGCCGCCATCCCGGTGGTTTCCCATTGCTTCAGGCCAAGCTGGGTTCAGCGTCCTGTTCTAATATAGTATATTATAGTATATTATAGTATATTATAGTATATTATAGTCTATCATAGTCTATCATAGTCTATTATAGTATATTCTAGTATATTATAGTATGTTATAGTATATTATACTACATTATACTATCTTATAGTATGTTATAGTATATAGTATATTGGTTATACGCCCGGATATCATGCCTCGCTTTTTGTGCATCTCAACTGCCCGTGCAGCCGGGGCGCGTCCGGGATGCAATTTGGGTTTAGTTTCCGTGATCCTGGAGTCGGTGGAGGGACGGCCTCTGTACAGGCACGGCAGGCCTACCCCCAAAACTCTCCGTCAGAGTTCGTGCAGCATCCGCCGGATGTGCTGAGCAGGTTTCCAGCTGGCTGAGAGATGAGGTCACTGCCGTCTTGGGAAGGGGTGGGGCTCCAGAAAATCCGAACTCTGAGTCCTGAACCCTAAACCCTAAACCCTAAACCCTAAACCTCCTAAACCCTAAACCCGAAACCTCCCAAACCCTAAACCCGAAGACATTGCAGCCAAAAGTCCCAAAGCCCTAAACCCTCAAGGTCCCGAGTCCCTGAACCCCGATGCCCCACGAGTCCCCACGTCCCTAAGGCCCGAATATAGGGGCCTTAATAGATAGAATAGGGCCTGGGGGGATATTATACTATGATTATAATCAGGAACCCCCCCCAAAATACGATTGGACCTTAAACCATGGGAATTACGGTATATTTCCTAGTCTGGGTAATGCAGGATTTATGTGATCAGCCGTAGTACGGGTAATGATTGCGTAAGGCCCCCAATACTACACCTCTAAGACCGGCCAGGCGGGGCAGCCAGAAGGACTTCAGCGAGTCGGACCTCCGATCTGCCACTTCCTTAATATGGAGGCCGTCAGAAAACCCTAGTCCCTACACCCCTAAAGCCTAAACCCCAAACCCTAAACCCCTAAACCCTAAACCCTAAACCCTAACAGCAGCAATAACAGGAAGAGGAGTCATAGCTAGAACTGCTGCTGCCGCTGCTGCCGCTGCTGCCGCTGCTGCTGCTGCTGCTGCTGCTGCTGCTGCTGATAGTAATCATCAAGCTGATAATCTTTGTAAAGGGCATTAAGGGTAGCAATATAGCAAGTAGTAGTCCACAAGCATGAATACTGGTGATAACAATATGAAGCAGTCGTAATATAGGGCCCTAACAGAATCATACAGTTTTAGTGGTTTTAGGATCAGTCATGACAGTAAACAGAGTGAAATTAAGCAGCAATAATGATGACAAATAGCAACAACGATCGTTGTCATGCTCATATTCGTTATCGCAACAAAAACTATCACTGCAACAAACAACAACAAGAAAAACACACGGCAGCCATGGAAACCATAGCAATCATAATAACTATCACGATAAACTCCACCCCTTTGGTTCCATTCCATCCACGCTGATTTCCTGGACGGACAGAGGTCGCCGACATTGGGGCAATGCTTGGGAGACTTAAGCCTTGGATATAGCTTGGCACCAAACCCATGAATTGCTAGGCCACGGGACACAGAGACAACGAAGCATAGAAAGCTTTGGAACTTCAGCCGCAGAACTCGAGAGTGTCCGCCACTATACAGGTCTGGTGTCCAAGATCCTAGGATTCGCGTGGAAGGTCATATCATCATCATCATCATCATCATCATAATAAACCGTTATCACCATCATCATCATCATCGTTGTCATCAGCATCATCATCATCATCGCCATCATCATCATCATCATCATCATTATTATTATTATTATTATTATTATCATCATCATCATAAACCATTATCACCATCACCATCATCAGCGTTATTCTCATCGTCGTCGTCTTCGTCGTCTTCGTCGTGTTTGTCGTCATAGCCATCGTCGTCATCGTCATCGTCGTCATCGTCATCGTCATCCTGAACATCGTCGTTATCGTTCATCATTGTCATCATCATCATCATCATCATCCCGATCCCGCAACTTCTCGGATTCGCTAGAGCCAGGCTCAGTGCCAAAAGCAGCAAGTACGGCCCGCCGAAATTCTGCTCCCAAGGTGATCCGGCCGAAGCGAGTCCCTTTAGCAACGCACGGGGCTCGGAAGTCTTTTCGTTGGTTGACAGTGTTCCGTTGCATTTCAGGGCTCTCCAGTGTTCCGGGAGACCTGAGTTGCACAATCTCAGCCTTTCCCCTGACCTTCCAGGCCATGTTGGAGCGGCATGCTGCAATGTTCGCAGCCCAGTTTGTGAGAGCGTAATATGCTATAAGACACGATAAGATTCTATAGCATACAAGAAGAACCGAGATTCACAAAAGTATGCTGCAGTATACCCTAATCTATACCCGACCTGAGTGGCTTTCCGGGAATGGGGCGGGTCATTTCGCATAGCTTTGTTAAGGCGGAAGCGCCGGCCAAAGCATCCACAGCGCGTGGTGATCCAGCCTCCTGCGGCAACCGACGAGGAGGAGGCTTAGGGTTTAGGGCTTGGGGTTTGGGGTTCAGGCTAGGGTTTGGGTTGGGGCTCAGGGTTTGCGGCTTAGGGCTTACTGTAGGGTTTAGGGAGGCATGGAGAAGTGTAGCAGCACGGCAAGAATAACAAGACCCCGTCCCCACCACCTTGCCTGGTGCTAGGATTGGCAAACTAACACCCCAATAACGGTAGTAGCACCCGTAGTATGCCCCTCATGCACCATCCGTCCCTCCGTCCACCCATCCACCCATCCACCCACCCACCCATCCACCCATCCACCCATCCACCCATCCACCCATCCACCCATCCACCCATCCACCCATCCACCCACCCATCTATCCATCTGCCCATCATCCATCTATCTACCTATCCGCAGAACTCTGGCCCGCAGCCAGGGCTCCGAGAATTTCTCTGTCTCTGGCATTCGCCTGGGTACGCAGACCCGAGGCACGCAGACCCGAGCTCATTCAAAGGATTTAGGCTTTTAGGGTTCAGGGTTTTAGGGTTTAGGGTTCGAGCTTCTAGGGTTTAGGGTTTTCGGGTTTGGAGTTTCGTCCGAGGTGATCGGCAACGGTGGCATCGCTCCCGACACTCCGTTGTCTCCCCCTCCTGCTGCTGCTCCTCCTTGTGACGGGACCCTGACCTGGAGTCAACTAAGATTCGTCGTAGCCGTAATTGAAGCTCGCCCGTCGCAGTCGTGGTGGTGGTGGCGGTGGTGCTTCGGTCGCGGTTCTTGGTGGTGGCAAGCGGTGATAGCGACAGCCGCGCCAGCAGCGCCAGCAGCAGGGGCAGCAGAAACAGTAGTTGCGGCAGTTGGAACACAAAGACGAGCAACAGCTTAGGCTGTCAAAAAAGCCTTTCATAGAGCCTAGGGCCTAGTCCTAAATTACAGCTTACCCGACTTCCTTTCTGCACCCTGCAGCTCACATCCCAAGCTTCTCACCGGAGAAACTCTCAAATCGCATGCAGTTCTGAGATCTTCCCCGCTGGGCGAATTACCTGCAAGAGACCCAAACCCTAAACTCCTAGACCCCAAAGCCTTAAACCCTAAACCCTAAACCCCTAAACCCTTAAGGCCTAATCTTCAGATGCAGGTGTTGCGGCCGGACCTGTGGCCGATTTTGCAGCCCTTAAGGCGAAGAAGGCCAGCCGCAATATATGTACACATTCATATGCCCATAACTACTTATATACATGTATGTATATATACATGTATGTATATATACATATATATCTATATATGTATCTATATTTATACACACACACACACATTCTAGTAATTTAGTATTTAGCTTTCCTGTGGGCCACCCGAAATCGGTGGAGGAGCAGTGGTGCAGCTCGATGCAATCTTGTGGGCTTGTACTTGGCTCCCTTTCGGAGTGCTTTTTAGTGATTTAAGGAAAGGCCCAGTCGCCGGCCTCCCTGGGAATTCACCGACTTCTGTAAGCAAGCGTCCTGAATCCCAAACGGGAAGCCCTGAACCGCAAGACCCTAAACCTAAGCCCTAAACCCTAAACCGTCGGCATTCTGTTTCTATCGCGCTGAAAGCTCCTGCCTCAGCTTTGCAGCAGCTCCGTGGGAGCTTCCACCCACAAATCTGACATGACATTACACATATTGTCTGTATTATTGGTGCTACTGTTGTCATAGGATTGCTTGTGTCTGTATTATTAGTGATACTATTGTTATAAGAATGCCTGTGGTTGCAAAAATGAGTATTATTATTGTTATTCGTATCGTTAATGTATTTTACAATAATTGGCTGGCTTTGAGAACAGTCCGAGCCCCAACAGCGTCACCAGTGCTAGAAGAAGACTGAAATGGAACTCCTTCTACAGTTAGTCCCGACTTAGTTTCAAGGTTCGACTACCGAACCTCAAGATGAAAGATCTCCAGCTTGTGTTAAGCGGCGAGTGCTGTTCTAGGAGTTCCTTCTTTCAGCCTTCTGTAATCAGGTTTCAGGGAGCTCGCCAGCAGTATTTTTGCGGGCTGAGATTTCGTAAGGCCTTTGTTGCATCACCTTGTCGTGGTCCTGAGTGCACTGTATGTATGGTTCCTGGAAAGCCCATGCCAGCTTCTTCAAACCCTAAACCCTGAAGCCTCTAAACTTTCAGCTCATGGTATCATGTAGCCGGCCAGGATTTCCTTGTCCTGATTTGTCGCAGTCTTCAAGTGTCCCAGCCTGCAGGGTCTGAGACTCAAGTGAGGTCTTCGTACTATGAGACTATGGGGGTATGAAAACTTAGAGAATCACAGCGCTTTATAGCCGTTATGGTAACTATAGTACCTCCATAATCTTACTCCAACCATT